TAAGTTTATATTATCCGTGCTCTGTTGGTATGATATTTTACAAAAAATCAACATTGTTTCAAAATCTTTGCAGTCGCATGAAATTGACATACCAAAATGCATACACTTAATTGAAAATGTAATTGTTTTTTTAAAAGATTATCGTGAAAATGGTTTTATAGGCATTGAAATAAATGCCAAAGAAATAGCAGTTCAAATGAACGTTCCTCCAGAATTTCCATCCGTGTCACAATTTCATTTCAGAAAACGAACGTTTAGCAATCAATGTCAAAACGAATCATTTACAGATGCCAGACAGAAATTTAAAGTAGAGTTTTTTAATTATACCATTGACATAGCTTTAAATTCTTTGGAAGAACGATTCCATCAGCTTAATTATCACAATGATGCTTTCAAATTTTTATACGATATAAATGATTCTGATATTACATTAAATCAATGCAAAGCTTTAGAATCAAAACTTTATAACAAAAACACAAATTATTCTGATATAAATGCCATTGAATTATTTGACGAGATAAATCTATATAAAACAACATTTTCAGATAAACAAAACATCTTGCAATCCCCAATAGATATTTTAAATAAATTAGCTCAAAATGGCTTCCTGGAAATATTTCCTAATTTAACAATAGCGTTTCGAATACTATTAACTATGCCAATATCTGTGGCAACTGGTGAGGCAAGTTTTTCAAAATTAAAATTAATAAAAAATTATCTCAGAAGTACAATGACGCAAACCCGATTATCCGATTTAGCAATCCTGTCAATCGAAAAAGAACTGGCCAATAATCTTGATTATAAGGATGTTATAGAAATATTCGCAAAGGCTAAGGCCAGAAGACATAATTTTTAATTTTTAATTTTTTTCTCATATAATTCTCATAAAATGTATTATTAAAAAATAAAATATAAAACATATATATTCTATTAATAATATCTATTAATAATATCTAATAATCTTATTTCTTATGTGTTAATAATTCTATAATATGTATCTATTAATAACATTTAGACAATATAAATATAAAAGTAAAACAAAAATTATAAAAAGTAAAAAAAGATATAAAAATTTAAAAATATACAAAAAAATATAAAAATATAAAAAAACAAAAAAACAAAAAAAATGGAACCATTATCCTGCTACGTCCTCGTCGTGGTTCTGGATAACGCTAAAAGCAGGTATTTTTTAGATTAATTTTTATTAGTTTTTACATATTTGCGCTGGGGCATGGGGCGGCGAACGAATTCTAGCGTAGGGGCGCTTAAGATAGTCGTAACGGCCCCGCGCAAAATCATTAATTTCTTGCTTCATCCCTCCTGAAGCTTTCTCATATTTAGACGCTAATGACTATATACAAGACGTAAATGGCATCCCAACCATTTATCACATACTTAGACATAAAAATATAAAAACTATAAAATATCCAGCAAATGTAAACTGCTTAAGAGATAAAATTGAGTTACGGTACTGTATGGACTTTCCAGAAAGAGATATACAAGAAAAACACCGTGAAAAACCCAAATACTGGTGGATTGAAAGAGATAAAAGTAGCCTTCCTTCCTTTCCTTTTTTCTTCCTCTTTCCTACGATTAGTGTAAAGTAAGAAAAAATCCACTAAAACACACAAATATATATATTAATGACAATGTATCAAAGCACAGACTACTAGTCTTATGATACTAGTAATGTATATAAATTAAACCTTTCAGACTAATAAGATTTACAAGTTGTCATAATAAAACAGTATGTACATACATATTATAACCTCTAGTATAATTATAAAATTGATAGTGCTCAACATAGACGTATGGAATGGACTGGCCCTTACCGCAAAGCTGCCAGATCTCCGCCGCAAGCAACATGCAACACCTTGTGGAGGGGATAACGGGGATGTGAGCATAACGTACGTGTGAGCTCGGAGCTCACACGTACGTTATGCTCACATCCCCGTTATCCCCTCCACAAGATGTTGCATATTGCTTGCGGCGGAGATCTGGCAGCTTTGCCTTACCGTAAGAGGCAGCGTTGAAAGATGGGGACACTGATGGGATGAGTAAAAACGAAGCGAGCATGCGTGTAGGCGATGAGGGGAAAGCAGTGTGCATGCTCGCTTCTTTTTCATTCATCCCATCACGGACAAACCACCCACGAGACAAAAGAGAAAGACAGAGATACCCGGAATCATCTCTCTGTCCTTTAGATCTTTCAACGCTGCCTCTTACGGTAGGGGGCAGTCTATTCTATAAGTCTATGGTGTTTAAGTACATAAAAGTATTGCGGATAGAATAAGGTCTATATAGACTGATAATTTGTGTTGTTTCTCTTTTTAATTACTTTATTTTATACTACGTTATAGCAGCTTAAAACAGAGCTCCGGAGTTTTTTTCTGCGCCTTTTTCTCTGGATAATATTACATAATACCGACCTGTAAAGATCCGCCCGTGAATCATCTCGATAATAAAAATAACTACTATACCGATCATAGAACAAGCATAATAAAATACTATCAAATCCTGAAAGATTCTCCTCGGAGATCACAGTGACATTCAAAAGATAAAATGTAAAAAACTTTATTTGTTTTAAAGTTTATTGGTTTCAAAAATTTGTGTAACTGAAATGGGCACTCAATAAACAACTTATACATACACACACTAGTTTTCGTCCGATCACTGAAGTTAAGCAACGTTGGACAGTACTTAGATGGATGACCGCTTGGGAAAGCCATGTACTGTTGGCACCATCTTTTTTTTGTTAATTAATTTAAATATTATCAATATTGATATAATTTTTTAATTTCAATCCCTATATGCTAAATCATTTTCTTAAAATGTGATAATTGAGTCAATAGATTGTATGTATATTTCGTGAAAAATGATGATAAATAATAGCATTCACAGCAGAAAGAAACGCTTAATAAGTGATTACCCAGTAAGCAAAATGTTAGCAGTCTGTCAGCAGCATGCAAGCAGATTCAAACAGAATATTGCGGCAGATTGGCATCAACTGCGTCCGCATTAAGCTTGGGTTCTGCTAGCAGAATCTGTCAGCATAAACCGACAGCAGATTGACAGCAGAAATCGAACAGGATCTGCGCGTGCAATTTGATGTTAGATTGTCCGCAGAAACCGAACAGAATCTGCGGATGCAACCTGATGGCAAATGGACAGCAGAAATTTCACAAGATTTGCACTTTTATTAATATTATATAAATGCAACAAAATTGATTATTACAGATGCTAAATAACAATATTATCGGCAAGTTAATTAGAATTTTCTTATAGAAAATGACATATATGTAATGTTATATCATAGTTATATTTCATATAGCGAAGGACTAATTTCAATTCTATTTAATTAAATTAATAATAAAGTAAATGTAACTTGTAAAACTTGAGATGTAATTTATTTAGAATTAAATTCTTGCTTTATGCCTCAAATAGGCAGTGCATGAATAATTTTCCATATATTATATTGATTCTAATCAGTTTAATATTCTGACTCTCATTTGCTTGTATCAGATATCAGAAATTAAAGTGAAAAATTAAAATGATAATTACTATATTTTTAGTCTTTTATTCATATTCGTGACTTTATATATATTTCTGACAGAAATTCAATTACGAGAATGTACAGCTCACGTAGCAGTAAGTGAAGGAACTATCGAATCATGCAAACCCTGTTCCATTTCTGCCATCAATCTGCTATCAGAGATTATATGCGCAGATCCTGTTCGATTTTTGCCGACAATCTGTTGTCAAATTGCATCGCACAGATCCTGTTCAATTTCTGCCACTAATCTGCCACTAAGTTATGCCGGCAGAATCTGTTCGATTTTTGCTGCCAATCTGGTAACTGATTATGTTAACAAGCTTTGTTATATTTCTGTTGACATTCTGGCGACATCACATGATATATCCTGCATCGATTCTGTAATCTTTCTGTCGACAACAATTTGTAACAGATTCCCTGACAAGATCTGCTTTAGCAGACTTGGCTATTGGGGTAATAATGCAATGCAATAGTTAGGAATATATGTGACAATAGGAGAATCTAACTTTACATGCTGAATCAGCGGTCATATTACACGTACATTACATTTCAATATAGCATATTTTTAATTTGTTCGAAAATATGGCAACTTTTGAATAAATTGTATTGTGTTGCAACATAATGGAAAATTGAGGATCATTTGATAGAAAATCGTAAATTTACAATTAACAATTACATATTTTTTCTTCGAAACAACTATGTGTTTTCTTTACACCAATTGATTTCTCTTATTATTTTGTATGTAAAAGTATTAGGGTAAGATAATCGAAAAATTAATATTTTACAAGATATTTTACGGTTTATGTAAAATTAAGAAATGATTTCAAGCCTCATAACTCGGAAAGTACTTAATAAAAACTAACTTAATTATAGTGTTCTGTAAAGTTCTCGAGATGAGCTACAAGAATATGCAAAGCATATAGGGTGTCCTATTTAGAAAGTTGGAGGTGACGATCACGTGATCTTCAGGTGACTCTTCAAGGTCAAACTAATGACACCATCTTATGTTTTCCTTGAAACCATACAACTTTTGTCTGAAATATTTTTTTCTACAATCAAAATTAAAAAAGTTATTCAGGATGATCGATTAAAATAGAACATTCTGAATACATTTGTCCTGGGACACTCGTTATACGTTGTCAGAATACCCAGCATCAAAACCGTATCATATCATATCGTATCGTCTCGTCACGATGACGATATATTAATTTTCTTTAAATACCAATCAAATGCTGTAAAATTGAAAGGTCTCAGTTTCTCAGGAGACTTTGACGTCCGACGTTATAGATTAGTATACGTTAGCCAGCATCACGTACTATCGTTCTCAAAAAAAAAAATATAATCTTTAAAATAAAAATCTGTGCCGAAATTGAAGCGTCGTCGCGACGTCTTCTCAGACGTCTTCTGACGTTTGCTCAACGTTCAGGACTCGATTCGATTTTTACGTTAGCCACTCGTGTTTTCATAGAGCGTAGTACGACACGTACATCGTCTCATTTGCATATCTGTTCTCCGCAGACCCGGCGATAACGTGACACGTATGTTCCGTTGAGTAGCTGGAACGAAAGGAAAGACGGAAACCTAGTAATGGGAATCGACGGGATGAGGGTTGGCGGTGGCAGATGCCCGCCCCTCCTGGTCGGAGGACTTCTGCTGGCGTGTCTCATGCTCATCTGCAACTGGTGGACCCTCTCGTCCGAGAACCTGGAGCTCGTCAGGCAAATCGACGACCTGAACGAGCAGCTCAAGATTAGGTGGGACTGACAGTTGGCAACTATCAGTTGCTTTGCAAATTTTTCTCGTCGATTATCATATCTTGTCAGTGCGATAAAAGTGACAATCATTAGTCATTAAGTCTGATATATGTCAGTTATATTTATAGTTTTACTAAGTGTAATTAAGTTTGAACCTCGAGGCTTTATGATATTATTATGTTTATGATATTATTATGATATAATTTGAAGTATTTATACACAGAGAAAAATATGATTCTACTGCCAAGAAAAGCGATTACTAGTTTATTTTCCTTTTTTTAAGTAATAATTTTATTACTTAAAAAAAGATTATAATTTTTAAGTAAGTTTTCTTCAACAAAGAATATATTCTTGATAATAATCTTAAAATATATTCATCACAAGTATTAGAAAATCTCATTATCATGTACTCAAAGAAAGAATTTATTTTCTTTTCAAGAATATTGTGAAGTTGTATCAAAGAAAAATCAAACTTACTTTACCTCAACTTTTGTAGTAAGCAAACCAAATTTTTGTTTTAATTTAATACTCTTGACTAAAATACTGTACTTACTAAAATTCAGAATATATTCAATTAAATTTAATGCTTGTGATAAACTTATGATATATTTGTGGATATACAAACTTATGATATACTTAAAATAAATAGTATTTATTTGAATACAGTATACATTTTTCTCTGTGTAGTGAAGATAGCGCTGAATTCAATTAGTCTTAGATGTCAAGCAGTAAAAAGTTGTAATTTTTTGGCGAGGCCTATATCATTATCTTAAGAAATGATGGATATCCTTCTTGCAATCATTTTATCCTGCGGATTACTTGTGCAGTACATATGCATAACATTATCCTTCTTCAGGTTTTATTCTTGAATTCTGTGACATGAAAATTTCTTCTTTCAGTGCCGAAGAGAGAGATCAGTGTGTAACTTTGCATGGTAACTTGGAACAAAGATATAAGCATTCGGAGGACAAGTTGGCCACGTTACACGTTCGTTTGGAACAGCAAATTGATCTTAAAAAGAAAAATGACGAGCTCGAGGACTCTGTTACTATATGCAAAAGTGAGTTAGACTCATTAAACAAACTGGATGCCACCAAAACTGCAACACTAGAAACATTACGATTAGAAAAAGACACAATTAATACTCAATTAGATGTGAAGCGAGATGAGAACAAGAAGCTTCAGGAGGAAGTGGACAGAGTATGAATTTTTTTCTCAATAATAGTGCTAATATAAAGTTAAATATCATTTTAATATAATGATTTAAATAATGATAAAAGATTTAAATAATATAATAAATAATATAATAAATAATATAATATAATGATTTTAATATGATTTTAGTATAATTAATTCTTAAAGTATTGGGATGACAAAATACTTATAAAATATATATTATATTTATATTTATACAGGCCCCGAACGTTCCAGCCGGACTTTGAGATCTTATAGGAAATTTAATTCTGAAGAAAAAATTTCCTATAAACATGGGTCGAAAAATGCTTCCTTAAGAAGTTATCGCTCAAAAACCTCTGATGAAAGAAGAGCAAAAGGTGAAAAGAAAATGAAACTAAATAAATTTCTTGAAAAAAACGATAAAAATAAAAAATAATAATCTTTTTCTTTTATGAAAATAAAATAAAAGTTAGTTTAAAAAAAAAAATATTTTATTTTCACAAAAGAAAAAGATTTTTATTTTTTATTTTTATCGTTTTTTTCAAGAAATTTATTTAGTTTCATTTTCTTTTTATTTCATTTTCTTTTCACCTTTTGCTCTTCCTTCATCAGAGGTTTTTGAGCGATAACTTCTTAAGGAAGCATTTTTCGACCCATGTTTATAGGAAATTTTTTCTTCAGAATTAAATTTCCTATAAGATCTCAAAGTCTGGCTGGAACGTTCGGGGCCACCCTGTATATTATATTTATATTATTATATTATTATTATTAAAGTATATATTATATTTGCATTACTGTTATTATTATTATTAAAATATACATATATTTTATTTATATTATTATATTATGACAAAATACTTATTTTATAGCTAAAAGGAGAGTTGGACCAATTGAAGCTTACTTGTATTTCATCTGAGAAAAAGGAGACTCCGAATCTCCAGCCACGTAAGTTACCTTAATGATGAATTTCGTTTGGCATATACCTTCGTGATGAATTTCGTTTGGTATATTCCTGTAAAAGAGTTTTCTCTATATTACAATTAATAATCGCATTCAAATAATAATTCAATTTATTAAACTTGAAGCAATTTATACACAGTATAAATAGTATTATTTGTATTGCATTAGCAGTAATAATTGTGAAATGAATCCAGAAGTTTGCTAACTTATTATTGCTAATCAACCCTGCTTCAATGGCGGGATAAAGATCCCAGTCTTTTATTTCTTTTCTTTTTCTTGAATTTCCATTAATTCTTAATTACGATTGGGCTGATCACGCAAAAATTAACTCGAGTACGTACCCTTTTGTCTGCACACTTTTGCCTCAGCATTATAAGATATTATCGGGGTTTGCTATCTAGCAATGACAGTGGTCATTAACAAGCCACAGTTGCATCCGGTACCGGTGTCTGCTGTAAGACTATCCGTAGCTGGTCAACGAGGTGTGAAGTTTCACGGGATTCCGATCCTACCATCAGACCCACCCGGTGCTGTGCGCCAAACTCCTCGTTTCTCAGTGGCTATGTTGAAGAAAGGTAGTGATACCTTTCCCCGTCCACGGGGCGAAAGAATGCTACCACAGACATGAGATTAGAGATTCGCAGTAGATTTGTATATATAAATCACACATTCTTTTAATTTTATACCTGTAAGTGGACCTCTATTAAGAACACACAAATCCGCTGTACCTCTTTTAAAACTTAATGATGTTAGCAGTGTTTGCTGGTATCTAGATAAAATTATCTAGATAATCATCTAGATAAAGAAATGGATCATCTTTATCTTTAACTAGATGAAGAAATACAAAGTATCTTTATCTTTATCTTAGATGAAAAATATATGTCATCTTATCTAAAAATTGTCTAAAATGACGTTTTCATTATGCAAAAAAATTTTCCAGGCAAGCTTCTAAAAATTTATCTAAAATATCTAAAATATATTTTTCATATTATTATTATTAATATATTATAAATATATTATTATTATATTATTAATATATTATAAATATATTATAAATATAAATTAATAAATAAATATTTATCATATCATTTATATACCTTTTTGCTATTATTTAAATATTTTTTAGGAAAAGAGAAAGAATATGTGTTTATGATTTTAATATCCCATTTATAATCTGCGTCACATTTTTTACAAATATTTATAATCTTTTAAAATAAACAAAAATATCTAGATAATTAAATCTAGATTATTGCAATGATTATCTCATCTTTCATCTAGATTAAGTAAAAGCAAAATCATCTTTATCTCATCTAAGATAAATTTACGGATTTTTTATCTTTATCTTTATCTAGATAATTTTGAAATTATCTACAGCAAACACTGGATGTTAGTATCATACGTATCCGGCTCCATCGTTTCATTCTAACGACACACAACATTATTTCTCTAATTTTCAAACGCCGAAATATTTTCATACGAGACAGATTATTCTAATTGTAACACATGAGATTGTTTTTATGAAACAATAATGTATAATATACATACAATTAGTTAGCTTTCATTATGCTTTTTTTACAAAGTCTAATTGTTTACACTTGTGTATCTATATAATTGAAATCTGGCAGTAATAATTTCAGAGTCAATAAGTGCCATGCAAGAGTATTATTAAAAATTTATTTTCCTATAAGAATATTGTATTTTTATTTTGCTTTAGGTGCTAAATACGCCTCTTTTTCTAAGTTAATATTAAAGAGACGAACAAGAATATATTAAATTATGTGTTACAAAAGTATAAATCTTTATATATCGGATGCTTTGTCATGTATGTAAAGCATATCCAAGATTGTTGAATGATTTATAACTAAGTTATATGACAGACATTATAAGATTTATGAGTAATTTTGCGATTTACTTACGCAGCTTGTTGCAATATGACATTTATATTTATAGTAAAATCTTATACAAATGGTATAAAGCATTTAAATGTAAACTATACACGCGCAAACTTTAATTTGTATTTGTAAAAATATGTTGAACAATAAAAAAAATGATGTGATAAATTATAATTGTCAACTCTTCAAAAATGTTAGGATAAAACATGTTTATCGAAAATATAATAATGTGATACTTTCGATAAGAAGTTCCGTTTTTTATTTTGTACAAAAGAAATTGTGTGATTAATAATAATTATTGTTATTATTATTTAAAAAAAAACATTGACATGAAAGAAACTAACATATTTTACATTAATGTTCATGGAGTACGCACATATATTGTGGTGGGAAGTTGCATTATATATTAATTACTAATATATATAATGTGTGAGATAACTCTCTCATTTAGAGTTACCATTCTGTATAACGTCACCATTAAAACGTTTTCAGAAATACGTACGAATTTCCTTTATTTTAGTGTAGTAATTTAGCTTACGTGGCTTTCAGTTGAAACGGAATCGAAACAAGTCAATGGCACGTCGAATGATGCTGCAGAGCAGGATATGGACGACTTAGGAGATCCTGAGAATCGTGCACGTGGTAATTAGAACTTTACATATAATGATATCACACATCTTATCGCTTTTATTCTTTTGCTGAAAAATATTATAAATAATCATAATATTTCATACAAAAAGAGAAACTTGATTGGATCTCTCCTTTAGCGTTAATGTATAGACTTTTTATAAAATCTCTTTTTTACTATTGATACACGACACATACACATATCAATAATAAAATTAAATAATCTTATTAAATTATATATACAGGGTGTATGTCCCAAAAGTCCCGGACCGGTCGAATATTTCATAAACTATGCACTTTAGAAAGAAATGTTTCAAACAAAAGTTGTATGGCTTGAAGGGGCTCATCAAATAGTGGCAATGATTTGACATGGGAGAGTCATTTGAAAGTCACGTGAAGATCACCGTCAATTTCTTAAATGGAACCCCCTATTTTTTATTACATATTCGTATAGTTTATCTCGAGAGCTTTCCAAAACACTATAATAAAGTATTTCTTCATTGAGTAGTTTCGAGTTATGAGGCTTGAAATCATTTCTTAATTTTGTATAAACCATAAAATATCTAGCAAAATATTCATTTTTCGATTATCTTAGCTTAATACTTTTATGTACAAAATAATGAGAGGAATCAATTGGTGTAAAGAAAACAACTATGTGTTATGATGGTAGATAGATATTTTATGGTTTATGCAAAATTAAGAAATGATTTTAAGCCTCATAACTCGAAAATTCAATGAAGAAATAGTTTATTATAGTGTTTTGAAAAGCTCTTGAGATAAACTATACGAATATGTAATAAAAAATAGGGGGTTCCATTTAAGAAATTGACGGTGATCTTCACGTGACTTTCAAATGACTCTCCCATGTCAAATCATTGCCACTATCTGATGGCCCCCTTCAAGCCGTACAACTTTTGTCTGAAACATTTCTTTCTAAAGCATAGTTTATGAAATATTCGACCGGTCCGGGACTTTTGGGACACTTTGTATATATATATATATATATATATATATATATATATATATATACATATATATGTATAATTTATTTTATTATATATATATAATATATATATATATATATATATATATATATATATATATATAATATATTTATATACTATATATGTATGTATGTGTATATCCAAGTATGTTTATATGTATACAATTATATTTTTTTTTCATATTATAATTATCTTCAACATAGAAAAAAATTAGAGTAAAATAACTAACTCAAGAGAGAATAACTGCAATTAGCGATAATTTTTTTTTTCTTTTTTTATTATTTATGTATATTTATTTTTAATTATTTACATTTTTTATATATTTTTATTTAATTATACTTATATAATAATATATATTTTTATATATTATTATTATATTTTAACTTAAATTTATATTATTTATATACTATATATGTATGTATGTGTATATCCAAGTATGTTTATATGTATACAATATATTTTTTTTCATATTATAATTATCTTCAATATAGGAAAAAATTAGAGTAAAATAACTCAAGAGAGAATAACTGCAATTAGGGATAATTTTTTTTCTTTTTTTATTATTTATGTAGATAACAACGGAGATGATATTCAAAATGCAGGAGGAACTATGCTACTGCCAGACAATTATGAAAGCAATTACGACAAAGAGATCTGAGGATAAAAATATGTAAAATACACTTTAAATAGATATCAATATTAGCAATATTCTGATCTATCATGACACTATGTATCATACAAAGTGTATTTTTCTTCACTGTATCATACTTAATTGTATGTGATACAAGTATTCTTTATACGTTATTACTTTAAAAGCATTTACATTCTAATAAATTTTTTTACGTTTTTATGAGGATAAAAACTACAAAGTAATGTACATAGTACATACATATGTGCCAAAATAGGTTGACTGCTTTTTGATATGCATATATTTGCAAACGATATATAGAATTTTTGTGCAATAAGCGGGTCAATTGTAATCATTTAAAGATCTGAGAGTGAAAAAAATGCAAAAATATTATACGATATTTTATAAGACAAGACAATATGTCTTCAATAATTTTTTAATAAGCCATGTTTTGTGCCACTTGAAAAAAAGTGATAATAATACTATGTAATAAATTGTGAATGTTTTATATAAAAATATAAAACTTTGTGTCTTTTATTAAATAAACATCCTCATTTATATTTCTTTGTCAGTTTTATTGCAGTCTTATCAAAAAAATAAACAATAAATTTTGATATACATAAGATACTTTTGCGCTTCTTGTTAATTGTTAAAGGTAAGTAACAATTTAAATTATAACATATTTGTGGTAATGGGAATTAATTAGGCGTTATATTGCATCAATTGATTATTTAAAAAGATTACGTCCACATGTTCCTTCATCAATGCAGAGTGACATTTTACTAAAATTATTTTACATATTCATGATGCATGTGAAATGTATAAATTTTGTATTAGATCCAATGTATATCGAAAATATATTCAGCCTACATAAAATTTCACATTTCTGGGTATCGCAAAATTCCTGAAGTTTGTATTGTGATGTTGACTTGCGCTACATTGTGCGTTAATAGCTCGATATATGTCGAACTTTCCATTTATATATATATATATTACGTAAAAAATTACATGCATCAGCCCATATGGTCCATTTTTTCCTTAATATTCTATATACATACTATTAAAATTTCATTATAACATTTTCGAAATTTTATACATATAGCAAATATGTATAAGCATGTTTGTAAGTTAAATAAAAATGTAATAGTTCAAAACAATCGATGATTATCATATTGTCCTCGTCAAGCATATTTGCTATTGTTTTTGTATAAATTTATGTTCGCTACATTTTCCAGGTCATAATCTCGTTATCATGTATCAGATCCATAATCTACGTCACATATTATGTGTTTGATTATGTGACGCTTAATCTATTTAATTTCTATCTGATAAATAAAACGAACTCTGCGGTATATAAAACAACAAGTTCTTTACATGTGCGCTATTTTCTCTTTATGGCGATTTTATTTCTCTCTAATATAGCTTTTTCGGTATTTGCTATTATTTCTAATTATAAGACACAATAATTATAATACTTTTAGCATATTATGTCAGTTTTTCTAAACATACAATTATTACATTTACTCATACATTTATTTTATTCAATACAATTACTCTATATTAATTATATATTTCATTGTCAATGCTGCCAGTAATACCTTAGTATTTGCTGCTACAAATAGCTACAATCTCACTGCTATTATTATGAGACAAATCATCAGTGCTTGTTAATAACCAGTATTGAAAATATTGAGAATTAGATACATTATATACATTAATATTAAATAAATAAATATATATATATATATATTTATTTATTTAATATATATATATATATATATATGCATATATGTATATATATTATATGTATAAATACAATATATGTATATATACAATATATACACATATATATGCATATATGTATATAATATGTATATATACAATATATATATATATATATATATATATATATGCATATATGTATATATACAATACATATACATATATATATATATATATATATATGTATCATAAATATTGCAATAAATTTGAATTACTATGTAAAAGTGCGCATTTTAGTTTTCTTTCATGTGTGATTAATTAAATTAATATACAAGTAAAGTATTACAACAAAATGCAAAATGTGACTAGGAAAAATTAAGTAACGACTAGATAATTACTATGTGAACCTATGTCTATATAAATGATTTTTGCTTGCTCTTGTATATTTACATGTATTAGCGTAAATTTTTTATTACAAACATCTCACTTTACCAGTTCGTAATTAAATAGCATTAAATTAGGAAATAATTAGTGACTAATCTAAAGTATATGAATTTATAGCTATATAATTACATATTTGAAGAGCTGCACGTGTGATTAGGGCATAGTGAATATTGTTAATAGAAAGTAAATTGCAATTTAATTCCAATATTCTTTAGGGATTATTTATACTGCAAATATACGAGCTCTAATTATTTTACAGTTTACATAATATTTTCTTTCAACTTCCATAGAATTAATGTAATATTTATTTTTATTGCCAATTTTTTAATTATTTATGTCTATGACAGAAACATTCGTGCATATTTGAATTGAGAATGTCTCTTTGAAATATCTTAAAGAGATCATATATGTGAATTCACATAATACATAACAGTTCTAAACTTTGCAACTTATTGCAACTTTTATATAGCTTTCATATAATTTGTAGCAGCGTATTCTAACTATTAAAATCATTTAATATTGTATATCTTTTATATTTACACTGAATTAAATTAGAATAAATAGAGAACCGATTTTATATTTCCTTATCAATAATTAAAACTGCAACAATTTGTATTGCAAAATTCTATATAATATCTTGCACTCGTTTTCTTTTTCTGTATTGCTAAAAATCATTTCTTATTTTATATTGTTAACACTGTGTGTGTGTGCTATAATATATATTTCTCTCTCTTTGGTCACATGATCAGCTACTAATAATATAAACTACAATTTAAACATCAACTATTAGAAAAATGATTCGCTGGAGTTGTATCTATTAAAAAATTAATTGAATGCTTTTGCTTTAGGCTCCACGTTTACCTTCATTTATCGCCGTTATTAATTTTCATAAGACGTAACTTGAATTATTATCAGCCTATACGAGGTAAATTAAAATTGCGGAAGAAACATTAGAAAACTGGAAGTTTCACGTTAATGTGCTCTCTCTGCAGAAAGTATGAATCCACTATATGTGTATATATACATTATATGTATGCATTTGTATGTTTGTATGTGTATATATATATCAGGGTTGGGTAAGTTTATATTTTTTTTAAACTAAATTAAGTTAAAGTTAATGGGTTAAAAAATTAATTCAGTTATGTTAAAAGTTATACAAATAAAAAATTAACTCAATAAAAGTTACGTTAAGATTAAATTAACGTTAGTTAAAATTAAAATAAAATAAAATAATATAATAAAAGTTAAAATTTTGAAAAGTATTATTTCACTTTATATTAAATTAGATTGTAATTTTAAAATTAGATTACTCTAAATAAATAATAATAATATGAATCATCAAATAAATTTGGGGGAAAAGTTAATAAGTTTCAGTTTATGTGTTTTAAAAATAACTAGTTAAAGTTAAAAGTTAACTCTTTTTAAAATAACTAAGTTCAATTAAAAATTATTAACTTTTTAACTTTTTTTTAATTTTTAACTAATCAACTAGTTATTATCCAACCCTGTATATATATATATATATATATATATATATATATATATATATATATATATATATAGTATGTAACTGAAAAGCGTCCACGGAGCGAACAGCAATTTAATATTCCTGATTAAAAATCGTGTTGAAAAGTCCTGAACCATTTTTTTCTAGAATGCTTAATAAAGTGATAATTATTGAGTGATGCAAAATAAACTTTTTCGCATTATTACACATAAAAATATTGCTATTTGTTCCATGGGCGCTTTTTCAGTTACATTCTGTATATATAGAATGTATCAAAAAATAAGTCAACCAACTAGGAAATGAAGAAAGAGCTTGAGTAGAGACATAAGACTAATAAATTTAATTTTTTAGGTATGGCTTTTAGGTATTAGATTTAATAAATATAGCGCGTTATAAGCGGGTGTGCAGAAAGTGCACTGAAACGTCTTAATACTTTGAGAAATACACATTTTCGAAAAAAATTCCTTACAAAAAATTATAGGACTTTAAGTAAAAATGAACTTGAATAGTGTGAATAGCAGGATGATCCATGCATTATCTTGAGAACACTCAAGATCGTATTAAATTTTAACCGACGTAATGCGTCACTTAAAATTTTATATAACTTTGGGGGACATTTATTTTGAAAATATATTTATTAAACCATTATAAATATATTTATTAAATATATTTAATATATATATAAATATATTTAATATATTTAATTATATATATATATATATATATATATATATATATTTAATATATTTAATATATAAATATATTTATGAAACCAACAGTGAAGACAAAAAAGTGCACTAGCATTACGTACTCTATTCAAGCTTCTCTTTCACCCAGTTGGTTGATGTTACCTTTTGATATACTTTGTATATATATAATCGTGTTCTGTTTCTCTCTATTGAGCATCATGCGCGCGCGAATTGATTAATCCGAGACCTCAGATCTAAGATAAATACAAGTATGCGTTATATTCCAGTCTCTCTCTGTTCTGTTTGCAATTTCGGAGTACATACACCGGGGGTCAACGACAAGGCAGTGAGATGTTAACAAATCATCAGTCTCTAAACGAGGGAAACTATATGAAAAAAGAAAAAATTATAGATAATCTTCGTTGTGATCTATACTATGATATTACTCTCGTCATTGCTATTGGTATCGCCTATTGGTTCAATGTAATCTCACTAATAGAAGAATTATCGAAACTTCACAGTTCTTTTTTTTAGGGTGAATAGTGCAAAGCGTGCCTCTGCTTTCGTCGAAAGATGAAGGCAAATATCGAACGGATTCGCCACCAACGGCTGCGCTTGCGATGCGAGTTGCGGGATCTCTCTTTAGCACGTATCTGTCTGACCAAGGAGAAGAATGCATCGTCTACGAATTGTCGGAGGGCCGCGGATGTTTCATAAAACGGACAACCGAGCTCTTCCGCAAGTGCCTTACCTTCCTCCGTGGTCACCTGAAATAATAATATAACTTTGAGTTCAATATACAGGGTATTTCTTCTAACTAGAGCATCTAGAATGTCTCGGTTTCCTCTGATGATATGAAAAAGGTAAAAGTACGAAAAATGTTCAATTTAAAGAGAATATTCTGATAAGCAAAATTTTTTTTAATGTTTCCTTTTACGAGTTTTCAAGATCATTTCTTTTGAATCAGGTAATATATTTTCATTAACGTAGTGATGTAGCTTGTGAAAAAATAAATTCAATACGATTGAATTAATTTTTTTATAAGTTACTTTTTTTTATAAGCACTGTGTTAATGAAAATATGCCATCTCCTTTTAAAAAATGTCGATGATCTTGAAATCTCGTAAAAAGTATCATATATAATTTAAAAAATATATTTAATATTTAATAATTTTATTTAATTTAAAAAATACTTTTTTTCAAATAAATAAAATTAATAGTTAGAATCAGGGTTGGCAAAAAACTTTATTTTTTTATTTTAAACAAAAAACATTGTTTTTTTTGTTTAGAAGAATGTTTTTTGTTTTATTTGTGTTTTTAAGTAAAGTAAAAAAAAACATGTTTTAAACAAAAAAAGCATGTTTTAAACAAGCAAAAAATACTTAATAGCTTTAATCTGTGAAAATATTTAAATTTTTCGCTAGCATTAAACTGTAAATAACATTTGACCAAAAATTGACAACGCTATTAAAAATATGAATAATAAAATAAAAATGATACGATGGGTATTATTTTAGCAGAATATTTATTTTTGGATATTAAATAACAATCAATACAATAAAGATTTCTTAGACGATATTGACTGATTTTACATTTTACATTTTAGCATTTTAAATTAATAGTACATAACTCATAGCAGGTCAGTAGTTCTAAAAAAAGGTTCTAGTTAATAATATTTAATATATAATACTTTGGTTCCTTTCCTATTCTTATTAAGTAATCTCATGCTTAACTCTTAACATAAATCATAAATAAAAGAAAAATAAAAAAATCTCAATTCTTCTTTTTAAAAGAAGAACTTTTTTTAAAACTACTGACCTGCTATGAGTTGTACTATTAATTTAAAATGTTAAAATGTAAAATGTAAAGTCAGTCAATATCTTCAAAGTAATCTTTATTGTATTGATTATTTAATATCCAAAAATAAATATTCTGCTAAAATAATATCCATCTTATCATTTTTATTTTATTAATTATATTTTTATATCTATATGTTACATAATATAGATAAAAAACTAAAAACAAAAATTTTTTTGCAACATCTGTAAGTTTTTGTTTGTTTTTGATTTTTTTTTTAATTTCTTTTCCAAATAATCATATTTTATTTGCGATATTTTAACAGTTCTAAATAGTAAACAGTGTTCACTGTTTTAAACAAGTTTTAATCAAACAGTTTTAAACATATTGTTTAAAACATGCCAACCCTGTTCCAGATATAAAAAAATATCTAAACAATCTAAATTTCCATATTTTTGCATGGAATAGACATCCTGACATCTCATTATTCTCATTAATTTATGCATATTTTGTTATATCAACTCGAGAGATTATTCAATATACCTTTCGCTGCTGTTGTAAATCATACTTATTACCGACTAGTACTAGAGGAATGTCCTCATTGGCGCGCACACGTGATATCAGTTTCCTATATTCCATCGTCTCCTGGAAGCTGTGCCTGTCTGTCACCGAGTAACATATCATGAAACCTTCGCCACATCTCATGTATTGCTCGCGCATCGCCGTAAATTCCACCTGTACACAACGCAAAAGGATCGTTCCCAATTGTAATAACATTACAATAAAAATCTACACGAGAGGAACATATCAATGTATATCGCATGATGCTGATTTTGACCATCGTAACATACATAAGAATCTCGAACCTGTCCAGCTGTGTCCAAGATATCCAGGAGAGCCGCCTCGCCATCGATAACCGCTTGTTTCTGATATGAATCCTCTACAAATGAAAGAGAAGTCATTATTTTCCTTTCGTACTCGTCTCAATCCTCAAGTACAGTCGTTCTTTCACTTCAAACCTTTTCCTACCCTACTTCTCCCTTGTTAGGGACCACGCTTGTGTACTTGAGAGTTGGAACAAACTTAAAACAGCGCTTTCCTGATACTAACAACTTACCTATAGTGGGATCATGATAGTTGAGGAACCTGTGACTGACGAACTGCAGAGTAACGGCTGAAAAACGATCATCGTCACAGAATGTGGCCCAAATATTCAATGTCAAACTTAATCACGCCAATATACGATACCTGATTTCCCGACACCACCGTCACCCAACACCACGATCTTGTAGACCCTGAGTCCACCCCTCGTGGTGGGCTGCGTTATCACCGGCACATCATCCCCGCCGTTGCAGGCGGCGATCCTGTCCTGAGAATCCGACATCCTGACGGCTGATGGTTGACATGCGTGCTCGGTGTGCGTGCTTAGCGCCCACGAGAGCGCCGACATACTTGACCCTCGGCGAAGCGGCTGGCGCACTTGATCGCGCCGTATCGGGGCGATTCGTTACTGGACGACACACCCGTGTTGTTGACGTTGTTGTGGATCGTTGCTTCTCCGCGACAGACGTAGGAACGGACGACGTGACTCATGTTTAAGACAAGTGGAAAAGAAGCTTCGTGATGGATTCAGATCCTCGCGGCCGGCATGACTCGTCGAGAGGCCGAAACGTGTGCGAGCGCGCTTGATCCCGTCAACCGGGGCGGTTCGCACTCGACAAGACGTCAGGTAAACGTGACAAGTGACAGCCGCGAAGCTGACTGCGAGTGCGCGCGCGCGCGCGCGGCGGGACCGCGTCGTTATTTGTTGTAGCCTTCCCTTTCATCGTCTTACGAGGATTACGAAGATTAATTGTAGATATGAAAAATAGTGATTATATTTTTTTTATATTTTAATTATATGAAACATAGTATTTTTAATATTTTTGATATTTTTATTGTATAAAATATATATTATTCATATATTATTTAAAGATGAAATATTGATTTGTGTTCGAATTTATATAATATATATTATATAAATATATATTATAATAAAAATACTAAAAATATATGTTTCATATAATTAAAATATAAAAAAAACATAATCACTATTTTTCGTATCTATAATTAAGCTATGTAATCTTCGTAAGACGATGATATTTGAAGTTACAAAAATTCGAACACAAATAAATATTTTATATATAAATAATATGAGTTATTACTCATATATTTATGAAAATAACATATTTTATATAATTAAAATATTTTAATTTGTTAAAGGTTTTAGGGTTTTAGACGCAAGAAGAGACACTTTAACTTTTTAAAATGGGTGTGTTTCGGGGTCGCATCGCTACAGTAGCGCTACTGTAGCGCTTCTTCTTCTTCTTTAGGTTTAAATGGCCACCTCCGAAAAATGATCGTGAGATTCATGCCAACAACAGGTGGATACTGTAGCGCTACATAAGTGTGTTTCGCGTTATTAAAGCCAGAGAGAAACCTGAGAGCGGCCACCTCGCTTTAACGGGTATATTGTCCTAATGCGCTCCCTGACAAAGTGGACGTCAACTACATCCATTACAGTCGATAATAATACATGGTTCGTGTCTGAGCTATGGTTCATGTCCAAGCTATGGAGTGACCCCAAAAGTGATACTCCCTCTATGGACATTCAAAACATGGACATGAACTACAAAGTCAAAGTCCATGAATGTTCTCAGAGGGTAATATATAATTGCACAATTTCTGGTTTTGTTCCGTGCTATGTGCACGAAATGCCGGTAGCATCAGTGCTATATAACAATTAAATACTTATGTGTGTAAATTGATAATAAATAAATTATTCAATCGCGACAGATACTGTAATATTCAAAGATGAACTAAATATTTTTCAAAATAAATTGGTAAATAATACGGCTCTATGTATTTATCAACATGATAATTAAGTAAAGAGCATTAAGAGCCCACAAAACGCAGATGGCAATGCGTAAATTATTTCGAACATTAATTGTTCGCGAATTTTTTTTTTTTTTTTAAATGCGTTATTAGGAGAACATGATTTGTAAAGAGGTCATCAACGCATCTTCGACCTCCTCGCAAAATATATTCTCCTGATAATATAAAATAATAAGAAACGAATTTTCGAAAATTTTCACGCTTGCGTTATTAGGAGAACATGATTTGTAAAGAGGTCATCAACGCATCTTCGACCTCCTCGCAAAATATATTCTCCTGATAATATAAAATAATAAGAAACGAATTTTCGAAAATTTTCACGCTTGCGTTATTAGGAGAACATGATTTGTAAAGAGGTCATCAACGCATCATCGACCTCCTCGCAAATATATTCTCCTGATAATATAAAATAATAAGAAACGAATTTTCGAAAATTTTCACGTTGCGTTATTAGGAGAACATGATTTGTAAAGAGTCATCAACGCATCATCGACCTCTTCGCAAAATATATTCTCCTGATAATATAAATTAAAGAAACGAATTTTCGAAAATTTTCGCGTTTGCGTTATTAGGAGAACATGATTTGTAAAGGGTCATCAAGCATCACGACCTCCTCGCAAAATATATTCTCCTGATAATATAAATTATAAGAAACGAATTTTCGAAAATTTTCGCGCTTGCGTTATTAGGAGAACATGATTTGTAAAGAGATCATCAACGCATCATCGACCTCCTCGCAAAATATATTCTCCTGATAATATAAATTATAAGAAACGAATTTTCGAAAATTTTCGCGCTTGCGTTATTAGGAGAAGATGATTTGTAAAGAGGACATCAACGCATCATCGACCTCCTCGCAAAATATATTCTCCTGATATATAAATTTAAGAAACGAATTTTCGAAAAATTTTCACGCTTGCGTTATTAGGAGAACATGATTTGTAAAGAGGTCATCAACGCATCATCGACCTCCTCGCAAAATATATTCTCCTGATAATATAAGATAATAAGAAACGAATTTTCGAAAATTTTCACGCTTTCGTTATTAGGAGAACATGATTTGTAAAGGGGTCATCAAAGCATCATCGACCTCCTCGCAAAATATATTCTCCTGATCATATAAATTATAAGAAACGAATTTTCGAAAATTTTCGCGCTTGCGTTATTAGGAGAACATGATTTGTAAAGAGGTCATCAACGCATCATCGACCTCCTCGCAAAATATATTCTCCTGATAATATAAATTATAAGAAACGAATTTTCGAAAATTTTTGCGCTTGCGTTATTAGGAGAACATGATTTGTAAAGAGGTCATCAACGCATCATCGACCTCCTCGCAAAATATATTCTCCTGATAATATAAAGTAATAAGAAACGAATTTTCGAAAATTTTCACGCTTGCGTTATTAGGAGAACATGATTTGTAAAGAGGTCATCAACGCATCTTCGATCTCCTCGGAAAATATATTCTCCTGATAAGATAAAATAATAAGAAACGAATTTTCGAAAATTTTCACGTTTGCGTTATTAGGAGAACATGATTTGTAAAGAGATCATCAACGCATCATCGACCTCCTCGCAAAATATATTCTCCTGATAATATAAATTATAAGAAACGAATTTTCGAAAATTTTCGCGCTTGCGTTATTAGGAGAACATGATTTGTAAAGGGTCATCAAGCATCATGACCTCTCGCAAATATATTCTCCTGATATATAAATTATAAGAAACGAATTTTCGAAAATTTTCGCGCTTGCGTTATTAGGAGAACATGATTTGTAAAGAGTCATCAATGCATCATCGACCTCCTCGCAAAATATATTCTCCTGATAATATAAAATAATAAGAAGAATTTTCGAAAATTTTCGCGCTTGCGTTTTTAGGAGAACATGATTTGTAAAGAGGTCATCAACGCATCATCGACCTCCTCGCAAAATATATTCTCCTGATAATATAAATTATAAGAAACGAATTTTCGAAAATTTTTGCGCTTGCGTTATTAGGAGAACATGATTTGTAAAGAGGTCATCAACGCATCATCGACCTCCTCGCAAAATATATTCTCCTGATATATAAATAATAAGAAACGAATTTTCGAAAATTTTCACGCTTGCGTTATTAGGAGAACATGATTTGTAAAGAGGTCATCAACTCATCATCGACCTCCTCGCAAAATATATTCTCCTGATAATATAAAATAATAAGAAGAATTTTCGAAAATTTTCGCGCTTGCGTTTTTAGGAGAACATGATTTGTAAAGAGGTCATCAACGCATCATCGACCTCCTCGCAAAATATATTCTCCTGATAATATAAATTATAAGAAACGAATTTTCGAAAATTTTTGCGCTTGCGTTATTAGGAGAACATGATTTGTAAAGAGGTCATCAACGCATCATCGACCTCCTCGCAAAATATATTCTCCTGATAATATAAAGTAATAAGAAACGAATTTTCGAAAATTTTCACGCTTGCGTTATTAGGAGAACATGATTTGTAAAGAGGTCATCAACTCATCATCGACCTCCTCACAAAATATATTCTCCTGATAATATAAAATAATAACAAACAAATTTTCGAAAATTTTCACGCTTGCGTTATTAGGAGAACATGATTTGTAAAGAGGTCATCAACGCATCTTCGATCTCCTCGGAAAATATATTCTCCTGATAAGATAAAATAATAAGAAACGAATTTTCGAAAATTTTCACGCTTGCGTTATTAAGAGAACATGATTTGTAAAGAGGTCATCAACGCATCTTCGACCTTCTCGCATAATATATTCTCCTGATAATATAAAATTATAAGAAACGAATTTTCGAAAATTTTCACGTTTGCGTTATTAGGAGAACATGATTTGTAAAAGATCATCAACGCATCATCGACCTCTTCGCAAATATATTCTCCTGATAATATAAATTATAAGAAACGAATTTTCGAAAATTTTCGCGTTTGCGTTATTAGGAGAACATGATTTGTAAAGGGGTCATCAAAGCATCACCGACCTCCTCGCAAAATATATTCTCCTGATAATATAAATTATAAGAAACGAATTTTCGAAAATTTTCGCGCTTGCGTTATTAGGAGAACATGATTTGTAAAGAGATCATCAACGCATCATCGACCTCCTCGCAAAATATATTCTCCTGATAATATAAATTATAAGAAACGAATTTTCGAAAATTTTCCGCTTGCGTTATTAGGAGAAGATGATTTGTAAAGAGGACATCAACGCATCATCGACCTCCTCGCAAAATATATTCTCCTGATATTATAAATATAAGAAAACGAATTTTCGAAAATTTTCGCGCTTGCGTTATTAGGAGAACATGATTTGTAAAGAGTCATCAACGCATCATCGACCTCCTCGCACAATATATTCTCCTGATATATAAATTTAAGAAACGAATTTTCGAAAATTTTCACGCTTGCGTTATTAGGAGAACATGATTTGTAAAGAGGTCATCAACGCATCATCGACCTCCTCGCAAAATATATTCTCCTGATAATAAAATATAAGAAACGAATTTTCGAAAATTTTCGCGCTTCGTTATTAGGAGAACATGATTTGTAAAGAGGTCATCAACGCATCATCGACCTCCTCGCAAAATATATTCTCCTGATAATATAATTATAAGAAACGAATTTTCGAAAATTTTCGCGCTTGCGTTATTAGGAGAACATGATTTGTAAAGAGGTCATCAACGCATCATCGACCTCCTCGCAAAATATATTCTCCTGATAATATAAAATAATAAGAAACGAATTTCGAAAATTTTGCGCTTGCGTTATTAGGAGAACATGATTTGTAAAGAGGTCATCACGCATCATCGACCTCCTCGCAAAATATATTCTCCTGATATATAATTATAA